GCATGCAAGGCAAGCGCTCTACCACTGAGCCACCTTCCCAGCCCCGCCATGAGATTCTTATCTCCAGTTAATCACAGAAAAACTCAGATGTGGAGCTGTGGATCAAGTGGAATGCTAGCCTTGAGCAAAAGGAGCTCAGGAACCATGTCCAGACCCAGAGTTCAAGCCCCTGGACTGGCAAAAACAAAAATAAAACAAACCACACACATACACATACAATATGAATAAAATGTTGGTGTGTGGCTCATGGGGTAGGTGCTAAACTCTTGGTTTCCATCCCCAGCACTAGGAAAAGGAGGAAAGGAGGGAGGGGGGAGAAAGAAAGAGAGAGAGAGAGAGTGAGTAATTCTAGCTACTCAGGAGGTTGAGATCTGAGCCCAGAAAAATCTTGTGAGACTCTTATCTCCAATTAACGACCAGAACACCACAAGTGGAGCTGTGGCTCCAGTGGTAAGGTGCCAGCATTGAACATAAAAGCTAAGGGACACTGCGTCCAGACCCTGAGTTCAAGCCCCAGGGCTGGCACCATAAAACAGAGGTCCGGATGGGAGGGGAAGGAGGCAGAGACCGACTCACCTGCACCAGCAGCGAGAAGCCGGTGTGCACCGAGCCTTGCAGGATGGAGTTCCGCGTGGTCCCCACGTACAGCGTGTCCCCGCGGCCCTCGGCCACCGTGCGCACCGGGCCGAAGTCCTCGGGGACCTGGGGAGGGTGGAGAAGGACGTGTGTGTGGACAGGGGTGCGGGTCTCGGGTGGGTGGGGAGTGGTAGGGAAGGGGGCACCCCCCGCCTCACCTCCACCTGCTGCAGCTTGCTGTAGTCGGAGCCCCAGAGCACCACGCGGCGGTCGCGGCCCCCTCCGGACACCAGCGTGCCGCCCCGCAGGGCGCACAGCCCGAACACGCCGCCCTCGTGGGCGCCCGGCACGGCCTGCGTGATGCGGTTTCCACCTGCGGGATTAGGGGGCTGAGGTCAGCGTGGGGACTGACCCCCCCAGGGGTCCATCACTGGACTTTTCCATTTATTTACTTATTACTTATTTGTCGGTCGTGGGGCCTGAACTCTGGGCCTGGGCGCTGTCTCTCAGCTCTTCAGCTCAAGGCTAGCACTCTACCACTTGAGCTACAGCACTACTTCCGGCTTTTTTCGTTTTGCTTATGTGGTGCTGAGGATTCGAACCCAGGGCCTCAGGCATGCAAGGCAAGCGCTCTACCACTCAGCCACCTTCTTAGCCCTTCGTGAGACTCCTATCTCCAATAAACCACCAGAAAACTGGAAGTGGCGCTGTGGCTCAAGTGGTAGAGCGCTCACCTTGAGCTGAAGAGCTGAGGGACAGTGCCCAGGCCCAGAGTTCAAGCCCCACAACTAGCCCCCCCTCAAAAAAAAAAAGAGTCTCAGGGACTTTCCTGCCCAGGCTGGCTCTGCACCTTGATCCTCAGATCTCAGCCTCCTGAGTGGCTAGGATGACAGGCATACTGGCACCCAGCTTAATTTATTTTTGGTGTCTGTCCTGAGGCTTGAACTCAGGGCCTGGGTACTGTCCCTTTGCTTTTGTGTTCAAGGCTGGCACTCTATCACTTGAGTCACAACTCCACTTTTGGGGTTAGGGGGGTTAACTGGAGAACAGAGTCTCACTGACTTTCCTGCCTGGGCTGGCTTCAAACCTTGATTCTCAGAGTTCAGCCTCCTGAATAGCTGGGATTGCAAACATGAGCTCACTCACTGATCTATCAGCCATCTGCTCTGCATCCCCCACCCACCCCAGATCCAAGACCTTATCATCCATCCACTAAATCATCCCTACTGACATTTTCATGCACACCCTTGGACTCATCCACCATCCACTTTATCCAGGCCGCTCACTGGCCCACTGGTCTGTTCATCTGTCCATCTACCTGTCCATTCACCCATCCATTCATCCATACATCTATCGCCTGATTTATCAATCCAGCCAGTCAGCCACCTCTCCCTCCAGCGGTCAACCTGTCATACACCCACTGATGTCCTCATCCATTAAGCCGCTCATTTACCATTTATCCATCCATATACCCATCTATCCATCATCCACCCATCCATCCATCATCCACTCACCCATCCATCCATCCATCATCCACACATCCATCCATTTGCCCATCCATCAATCATCCATCATCCACTCATCCATCCATCCATCATCTACCCATCTACTCATCCATCATCCACTCATCCATCCATCTATCATCCACTCATCTATTTATCCAACTACCATTCATTCACCACTTATCCATCATCCACTTATCTATTCATCTACCATCCATCCACCTACCCATCAATCTATCCATCCATATATTCTTCCATCTATCTGCTTATCCATCCATTCATCTACCCATCCATCCACCCCATCCACCAATCCACTCATCTATTGCTCCATCTACCTGTTCTATCCATCTATCCATCTGTTTATCCATCCATCCACCCACACAACCACCCATCAATCCATCCATCCATCCACCCATTCATCTAGTTATTCATCCGTTCATCCATCCATCCATCTTCCGCTCATCCACCATGAACTCACTGATCCTTCTATCATCTATCCATCCACTCATCCATCCACTTATCCATCCATCCATCCACTCCTCTGTAGAGTACTAGCCTAGAGCTGAAGAGCTCAGGGACGGTGCCCAGGCCCACAGTTCAAGCCCCACAATTGAGAAAAAAAAAAAAAAAGAAAGAAAGAAAGAAAAGGAAGCAGTGATGAGGCTGTCTAGGAGACAGCACTGGGGACAAACCAGCTGAGTGACGCTGACCTTTGCCCCACACATAGAGGTTTCCCCCAGAGTCTCCAGTGACCACGTCGCCGCCCTCCAGAAACGTCACACACAGCACGTACTTTGGTTTCTCGTGTTTCTAAGGGAGAAAGAGAAGGGAAGGTGTCAGCGTGCCACTGAGGCAGGGCTGTGATGCGTTTGGTAGGAGGGTCCCTCGCCCCCAGTCTCCCACTGGAAGTCCTGACCCCCCTGGGGCTCGCTTCCCGCCCCCTCTCCTGCTTCCTGCACCTCACCTTCCCCCTCCCTCCAAGCTGTGTCCTTTACCCCACCGAGTCCTCACACTCGAGCGGTCAGGAGAAATCTTCCTTCCTGCCGTGGGGACAATAAACCTGAGTTCTGGGTGGGCGCCGGTGGCTCACGCCTGTCATCCTAGCTACTCAGGAGACTGAGATCTGAGGATCACGGTTCAAAGCCAGCCCGGGCAGGAGAGCCCGTGAGACTCTTATCTCCAAGAAACCACCAGAAAACCAGAAGTGGCGCTGTGGCTCAAGTGGTAGAGCGCTAGCCTTGAGCTGAAGAGCTGAGGGACAGCGCCCAGGCCCTGAGTTCAAGCCCCAGGACCGACAAAAAACAATGAAAAAACTGAGTTCTGGGGGCATCTGAAACTCGCCTGCTCCCCCCTCCCCCGCCCCACCAGCACTCACCTCGAAGAGGCCCTGCCGCTTGCTCAGGCTGCCCCCCTCCAAGCTCCAGAAGTAGATGTGGGACTTCCCGCAGGTGATGAGCAGCGTGGGGTCCGTGGGGTGGAAGGTGGCCACCAGCACGGCCTCGGTGGAGCACTGTGGGGGGGAGGGGACACCAGAGGACCTTAGAGCCTCTGGCACTCCCACACCCACCTCCCACAGCTTGGGGGGGCAGGTGCTGTACAACCTACTTGCCCATACTTTTCCTTTGTGTGGGGAAACTGAGGCAGGGGTGGGCAGAAGATCATTACCATCATCTCCAGCCACCCTGCAGCCACCACTCTGACAACCCCTACCCTGAGCTATGCACCCGGGGAGCACTGTACAACCATTATTAGTTTACTTGAGTACCCCAGGCTCACTGAACGTGAAGTGAGGCTCAGAGAAGGCAAGTTACTGACCTACGGTGACACAGCTCACCCAGACTAACTCCGGGTCCCTACCTCTCAGTCATTCCTCCTTTCCTAACCAGTAGGCTCCGACCTAGATCTTTCCAGGTCTTACCTATAAAGTAAGACCACTGCCCATAGAGACAATAGTCCTCATTTTACAGATGAGGCCTGGGAGGCACAGAGAGGGTAAGTCATTTCTCTAAAGCCACACAGCAGCTGATGCCCAAGGCAGGACCCGAAGTCTACCCAATGGCAAAATGCCTACGCGTGGCCCCAGGAGAGCGGGGAGGGCAGCCACCCCACCTTGCCATCCATTATCTTGGTCTCCTTGGCCCAGTCCCACACAGAGAGCACGTGATCGTTGGATTCGTCCACTGCACACAGCAGGTTGCCCCCATTCTGCACAGGAGGAGAAAGAGGAGGGGGTCAGGGTCCCCTATTCCCCACATCCCATGCCCGCAGCCTGGCCTCCATTGGCCTTGGGGAACTTGGTGAGCTGCATTTAAGTGAGATGATGGCTGGGGTGGGGTCAGGGCAAGGACTTACCGACTTGGAGAAACCCACGCAGCACACGGCGCGGTCAAACACCCCCAGGCCCAGCACGTGTAAGGTGGAGAGGGAAACGGAGTCCCAGATGCGAACGTGGGGCGGCAGTGGCTGCAGGAAAGGGAGGCCTGTTACCTGGGCTTGCGCTGCCTCCCCCGTCCCGCCATCTTCTCTGCCAGTCCTCTTGCCGCCATTACCTTCCCTTCGCGCGTGGTGCCCGCCACCTGCCCTGTGGCGATGGTGACCATGTCCGGGTGGACCGCCAGGCTGAGGAGAGAGGGACGGATGGACAGGGTCTGCGAGAGGGGCTCCCCTCTTTAAGCAGGCTGGGGTCACGATGCTGCCCACTCAGGCCACAAACTGGTTGACAGAGCTGTTTAGTCACTAAGTGTTGATTGGCTGCTCAGATCCCAGCAGGGGAGGCTCAGGCCTGAGGCTTGAACACAGAGGCCCACAGGGTTCCAGTCTGCCTGAGGGGGAAACCCACATTTTTTTTTTTTAATTTTTATTTTTGTCAGTCACGGGGCTTGAACTCTGGACCTGGGCACTGTCTCTCAGCTCTTCAGGTCAAGGCTAGTGCTCTACCACTTGAGCCACACCACCACGTCTAGTTTCCTGGTGGTTCAATGGAGATAAAAGTCTCAGGGACTTTTCCTGCCCAGGCTGGCTTTGAACCGTGATCCTCAGATCTCAGCCTCCTGAGTAGCTAGGATGACAGACGTGAGCCACTGGCACCCGGCCAGCTTTTTCTGAGTATGTGGTACTGAGGAATCAAAACCAGGGCTTCATGCATGCTAGGCAAGGACGCTACCACTAAGCCACCTTCCCAGTGGACTTTTAACTGCAATCCTCACATCTTGTTTGTTTGTTTTTGGGTCCGGTCATGGGGCCTGAACTCTGGGCCTGGGCGCTGTCCCTCAGCTCTTCAGCACAAGGCTAGCACTCTACCACTTGAGCCACAGTGCCACTTCCGACTTTTTTCTTTTTGCTTATGTAGTGCTGAGGAATCGAACCCAGGGCCCCAGGCATGCAAGGCAAGTGCTCTACCACTGAGCCACCTTCCCAGCCCCCAATCCTCACATCTTGTTAGCTAGAATTACAGGCATAAGCTACAGTGTCTGTTTTTTGGTTTTGTTTTTTTTTTTGGTTTGTGAGTTTTTTTTTGTTTGACAAGGGCTTGCCAAGTAACCATAACCCACTACCCTGTAGATCTGAAACTTCTGATTTTTCCTACCTCCACCTCCCAAATTCTGGGATTCTAAGCCGGTTGCCAGTGGCTGACGCCTGTCATCCTAGCTACTCAGGAGGCTGAGATCTGAGGATCCTGGTTCAAAGTCATAGCGTGCAGAAAAGTTCATGAGACTCTCCTCCAATGAACCACCCAAAAGCCAGAAGTGGAGCTGTGTGGTTCAAGTGGCAGAGCACCAGCCTTGAGTGAAAAAGCTGAAAGTGAGAGGCTCTTCAAGCCCCAGTACTGGCACAAAATCAAACAAACAAACAAACCACGCTGGGATTCCAGGCATGCACCTCCATGCCTGGCATGAAGTGATCATTGGAAATACAGTCAATCGTAGATTCTGCAGGAGGCAGCTGCTGGCTTTGCGGGGGAGGAGGCTTGCGGAAACAGGCCGGATGGCCCGGCCCTCACTCACCATTTGATGTCATCATTGTGTCCCAAGTAGTGGCGCTGCCTCTGTTCCTCCACACTGTACAGCACGGCCACGGAGGCCACGAAGTACACCACCTCCCCAGTGGGCAGCAGGTAGAGGTTGGCCCGGCAGTCACGGCCTCGGTAGCCGTAACTGGAGATGCCCAGGGGTCGGTTAAGGAGCCTGGGTTGCATTGTGGCTGACACCATTCAACAAGGCCCTCAGCGATTGGTCATTGGCCAGCAGCCTGGCCTGCTCTGCTCTTCAGCCCCACAGGGAGCAAATCCACTCTCCCCCCACAAGGAAAATCCATGTCTTTTTTGGGGGGGTCATGGGGCTTGAACTCAGGGCCTGGGTGTTGTCTCTGATTTTTTTTTTTTGGTCGGTTGTGGGGCTTGAACTCTGGGCTTGAGCACCGTCCTGCGCTCTTCAGCTCAAGGTGAGCGCTCTCCTGCTTGAGCCATAGCACCACTTCCGGTTTTCTGAGTGATTTATTGAAGAGTTTGACAGATTTTCCTGCCTGGGCTGGCTTTGAACCTTGATCCTCAGACCTCAGATCTCAGCCTCCTAAGTAGCTAGGATTACAGGCGTGAGCTACCAGCACCCGGCTGTCTCTGAGTTCTTTTGTTCAAGGCTAGCGCTCTACCACTTTGAGCCACGGCTCTACTTCCAGTTTTCTGCTGGTTCATTGGAGATCAGAGTCTCACAGACTTTCCTGCCTCAGCTGGCTTTGAACCTTGATCCTCAGATCTCAGCCTCATGAGTAGCTAGGATTATAGGTGTGAGCCACCAGTGCCCAGCTTCAAATTTCATGCTCCGTGTGTGTGTGTGTGTGTGTGTGTGTGTGTGTGTGTGTCCTGGGCTCTCACAGCCTGGACACTGCTCTTCAGCTTTTTGATTTAAGGCTAGTTCTCTACCACTTGAGTCATGCTTCCACTTCTAGCTTTCTGCTGGAAGTGTTAATTGGAGATTGGAGTCATACGGACCTTTCTGCCCTTGTGGCTTTAAACCATGATCCTCAGATCTCAGCATCTTAAATAGGATTGCAGGTGTGAGACACCTAGAACCCAGCTCAAGTGCATATGTTAACATACACACACACACACACACACACACACACATACACACACACATACTAGCTTCCTGTCCTTACCCCCAAGGACCTTTATACTTGGCTGTTTTCCATTCCCTACATTTCTTCACCTGTGTTAGGCCTCTCTGTCCATTCTACTAAAAACCCCCTATCCCGCGGTGGCTATGGAGAAGGGCGAGCTGAGGTGTGGAACAGATTTCTGTGGCCTCAGCCAACCTCTCAGCTGCTGAGCCAGCTGATCCAGACAATCAAGCCCAGTTCCCATGGATGCTTCCAGCTCACTGCAGAAATCTCTTGACTCCCATAATGCCAAGGCATTCTGCCAGCCTTCCCGACTCAGGCAGAGGAGAAACCAAGGCCAAAGAGAGGAAGGCAGCCTCTGGTGGACTTCCTTAGAACTTAGAACACTACCAAGCTCACTGGCCCCAGAAGCCTGCACCTGCTACACCCTGGGTCTGAAATCTTCCTGCAATGGGGACTCAATTCAGGCCCTCAAGCCTTGGAATGGTAGAGCCCAGCCTCTAGGACTTAAAACTGCACCCCCTCAGATTTTTCACTTTGTAAAATTGTTTTCAGATGTGCATGTATATTCATCAGAATAACCCTCTCCATTTGTTTGCTTTTGCCACTTTTAGTTTGCTGTTCAGCTCCCAAGCAGCTGGGATTACAGTCATGCGCTACTGTGCCCGGTTAGAATGTTCTCCTTTCAGTTCTTTCTAGTTCTTCGGGATCCTGCTCTTACCTCCTACATTCCTTCTTGAACAAAAACCCTTTCTGGGTATCATCTTTCGAGGCTCTCGGCTGCCTCCCTGCCTCTTTGTTAGTTAAGCTCCATGAACACTGACCACATCAAAACAAAACAACCCAAACACTCCCCAGACATTCTTGGCACTAATAAATCATAAAAGGTCATCTCGACTACTCTGCTTTCCTCTGCTCTCCCCTGAGGCAGCCTTCCTCATTGAGGCCCGGGCAGCCCCAGGTTAGGTCCCAAGTCTATTCCTCCCACTGCTGAGGGGGATGAACACCGAGTCAGGGATGGAAGCGAAGGATACACCCAGTCCAGCTTGAGGCGGCAGGAGGGCAGCTCTGAGCGTGTGTCCAGGCTGTAGGTGGGCGCCAGCTCCTCAGGAATCAGCATAGGCACAGGACGGCCCCTTAGAAACATTTTCACGGAGCCTTCCTCTGCCAAGACACCCCAGAGGTCAGGGCCAGGCCAGCACCTTGCCCTGCTCCTACTGAACTCTGGCCTTGCCACACACCCCAGCCTTTTCTTGTTGTTTTGGAGGGGAGAGGTCCTGGACTATGAGCCTCCTATTAACCCTTCCCACATAGCTTTTATTTCCTTTCTTCCTTCTGTCCGGATGGCCTTGAACTGGAAACCCACCAAATCTCAGTCTCTTAAATAAGCTTGAATTACAGACATGACACCAAATTCATTTTTTTTTTTTGAGAGAGAGAGAAGTGCCCCAGGCCGACTTCTCGATCTTACTATTCTCAGCCCAAGTGCTGTGATTATATGTGGTCAAAACTACGTCCAGCTTCACTTGTTTTTTGCTCAGCCATAGGGCTTGAACTCAGAGTCTAGGTGCTGTCCCTGGGCTCATTATGCTCAAGGGCTGCTGGCTCTATCACTTTGAGCCACAGTTCCATTTCCAGTTTCCTGGTGGTTCATTGGAGATAAGAGTCTCACAGACTTTCCAGCCTGGGCTGGCTTTGAACCTCGATCCTCAGATCTCAGCCTCCTGAGCAGCTAGGATTACACATGTGAGCCACCAGTGCCTGGCTCAGCTTCACTGTTTTTTAAAACAGGTGGAGATATTCAGGCCAGAAAGGTAAAAGGCCAGGTAATGAACACCTCCCTTTCTCCCTGAGAAGCCTTCAATCCAAGCCCCTTCTAATCTCCTCACTCACCCATGCTGAAGATAACTTCTTTGGTTTTACTGCCAGGAAACAATGCAGAAATAAAAGGAAAAGAAAGAGCTTTAGCAGGTAGGTCGGAAAGGGGAGGGAAGCACCCTGCCGCCCCGGGGCTCTGTGGAGGTCAGTCGCAGGACGGAGGCCGAGTAAGGAGCAGAGCGCTGCCTCTCTGCAGGCCGTGTGCTTTGCTCGGTTGATCTTGCAGAGCCTAAGACACAGGCCCAGAGAGGCAGCGATCGCCAGAGATCACACAGCACGAAGTGGCCGGAAGGAGATCCTGGAAGAGGGGAGCCCCCAGCCCCCCTAACCTGCACGGTGCCACACACACTCCCCCTCTCGCGCTCGCCGACCACCCCCTCCCAGCGTCCCCCCTACACAAGTTTGGAGGGCGAAGGGGCGTGTCCCTCAAAGTTCCCTGCGCAGGGAGGGGGCAAAGCGGTGAGGCTTTCGGACCTGGGTCCCTACGGGGTCCGAGGGGCCCGGGATCCAGGCCCCCGGGACCGCGGGGAGCAAGGGGATCTGCGTGAGGGTCTCACCCAGCTCCAAAACTGCTCATGGCGGCGGCTGGTGGAGCTCCGGGGACGGGGGTGGAGCCGGGAACCGGGCTCCGCCGCTTCCGGCCCTGGGAGGCGCCCGCGCCGCCGCCGCGCCCTGCCCCGCCCTCCGCGCTGACCCGTGGGGGACACCGAGCCCCGAGGCCCCGGCTGGCGGTGCAGCCCCACACCCCGCGTCCCGGGCGGGAGGCGCAGCCCCGACTCCCGGCCTCGTCGTGCCTGACACGTGAGGTACCGGCTTTTATCATTGCACTGGAAGGATGTCCAGCCGGTGGTGCCTCAGCCGCGCCCCCAAGACCAGACCACGCCCACCACCAACACGACCACGCCTCCGCGCAGGACTCCGCCCCCAAAATTATCACGCCCCGCCTATGGTCTCGGCCACGCCCCCGTTCGTGACCACGCCCACTTTCTTCTAACCTGCCCGGGATTGACTAGGTCAGCGGCTAATAGCTTTCTTCTCCCCGTTGTCCCCCTCCAGCCCCCTCACTGTTCTTCTCTCTGTCCCACGCGCCCTGCTGACCATCTGCACTTCCCGGTGGTCGGGTCCCACTGCGGAGTTCCCCTTCCCCAGTCACCACGTTGGCCCCGCCTCTTAGGCTGTGCGGCCACGCCCACGTGTGACCACGCCCACCTCCCCCCAACACCACCCGGCCGTGATTCCGCTAGCTCGGTGCAGGGTCCCCAACCGGGTCTCATACCCTTTGACCTACCCCTAAGATCTGTTTTCGGCCTAGGACACGCCCTCCAGATTCCAACCACACCCCTATCATTTATTCTTCCACTCCTAGCAGAAACTCTTGAGGCGTTGGACCTTGACTCCACCCTGAGACCAAATGGAGCCTCTCTTTTACCTTAATAGTCCTACCCCAGGGCTGGCCACCCCCCTGTCCTCCTCCTCCCCCCCACCCCCGCCCCAACTTCCTCTGGCTCAACCCGCAGGCCCAGGCCCTAGCCCCGCCTCCTGCGGTTGCTGTCCCGCTGGACGGGGCCCCGCCCCCAGGGCCTGGCCCCGCCCTGGCTCTGGCCCCGCCCCCGGCCCGCGCATCTCATTTTGGCTCAGTGCTACCTCCAGCTTTGCGCTCGCGTTCTGTATTAGCGCACCCCACTCCGGTTATGCCCCGGTGCCTAGGGTCCTGACTCTACCTGCCCCGCACCCCGGGACCCCACTCCTATACCTACCCTTCCTTTTTGGCGCTGCAATTGCTGCTGGAGGAGGTGGTGCGGCTGCGGGGGTCCTCGCGACGCACCGAGGCCAGGCGCTCCGGGGACAGGTAGCGACGGCCACTGCTGGGGGGGGGTGTCGGGGGGGGGGAAGGTTGCACGGTGCTGGGCATGCACCCGGCCCGGGGTTCCTCCCACCCCACCCCAGAAGGAATCAGAGAAAGCTCGGACTAAAGTTCCCATCCCCCCCCCCAGCACCTCACCTGCGCCCTGAGGTCGCCTCTTTCTTGGGGGAAGATGGAGAGGTGGCATAGCCACCCATGCGCCGTGGGGGTCCCGAGCCATTGAGGGGCGTCCTGGTGGGCAGGCCTTTCAAGAGCTGGCATACTTAAAAGAGATGGGGGGGTGGCAAAGAAGACGAGTTCCAGGTCGGCCTTTGCCCCCCCCACCTCCCTCCCTTCCAAACCCAATCGAGATACCGGAGGCAGTGGTGCCTAGACGCGGGGGTGCTCGGCCTTTCGGGGTACCCTTGGCTCGCAGCGCCACTCCCTGTTCCTCGCACGCCCGCAGGCGACGCAACGCGTCCGCCAGCGCCGCCTTCAGGACGGCCAGCTCGTCCTCCTGCAGCTGCAGCCGCTGCTCCAGCGCCGACACGCGGTCGTCCACCTCCATGCCGCTGGTGCCCGACAGATTGTCATCTGGAAGGGGGGCGGGGGGCGGGGAGGAGGCGGGAAGCGCGGGCTGCGGGGTCCGCGCAGGATCTCCGGCGCCACACGAGCCCTTCCCTCTCTCCCAGGTCTACGCGCGGGGCGGGGAGTGGGGTGGGGTGGAGATGGGGCCCGCCGGGCTCCCCTCGGCTCCCACACCTTGGGCCTGGGATGCTTCCGAGATGGTTAAGGTAAGGGAGTGGGGAAGAGGCCCCACGGCTCTCTGGGTGACCCCCCCCAAACACACTGATCCCCCAGCAGCGTGAATTGAGGTGGGGGGGGATGGGAAGTCCCTACCTCTCTCGAAGATTCTGCTAATCCAGCAGCCTCACTCTGGTTTTAACTGAGATGCTAAAATGTCCCTGAGTGACGTCAACATTTTAAGGATGACATCAACCTTCTAGAAGAGATTGCCATCCCCAACATTCTCGGACGGAAGGAAGGAAGGGGCCTCAATATTCTGCGGCGGGCACTGACATCCCCCCTCCCCGTCTAGATTTTTAAGACTTTTCCAAGTTCCTCCCTTTCCCTCACCCCCCCACCCTGCTCAGTTCAATTAAAGGAGGGGGGGTCGCCCCGCGAACCGGCCACAAGGACGGGGTTTTGGTGACCCCTGGCGGCAGACTCGGGGGGTGCAGGCAGCGCATAGTGGACCCAGGAGACCCACGCAAGGGAAAAGCAAGCGCTTCTCCTTCTTCTCCTAGCTCTCCGCTGTCCCCCTTCATTTTCCCCCTCTGTACCTCACACCCCAGATTTAGTTCTTTGCCTCCTCGTTAACCCATGGGTACAGGTTAAATGACTTCCCCATTCCCCCTCTGAACCCCACCCCACCCATTTCCCCAAAGTGAGAGAGGCCAGAACACGCATACCCAGACTCATTGCTTGCCACAGCCCAGGAGGCCCTGGCTCGATGCCTGGTGCAGGTGAAGATGATAGCTTAAACAGGGACAGGGCGTGGAGGTCGCACCTGCTATCCCACGTCGTCCCTAGTCCCTCCTCCTGCCTGCTGGGCTCCGCAGTGCAGCCTCCTGTCCCTCCCCTCCGTCCCTCCCTCCCACCAGGGCCCAATCGCCTGCCAAGGCTCACCACCCTGCCCCCACCCGGGACTTCGCAGGTCCGGCTGGGATCCGCAGAGGAAGGTGGGGGCCTCCCTCAGGTCATGGGGGAGAGGACTGTCCGGACCTGAAACCCACCCCAGGAGGGACTCTCCGAGTTCATGTTTTGGTAAGGAGAGAGGTTGAAATGCCTATGCAGAAACATCCCAAAGGTCATTCAAGCACATCTGGGGGGGGGGGAAAGGGGGACATCATTAGTGCTATATGCTGATCACTTTCCTACCTACCAATAATAGTACTATATTCTTTTTTAAAAAAATGAAGTACCTGTTTTTTGCAAGTTGAAATGTGCCCATGTAAAACACCTAGCAATTTCCCCAACCTATGGTAGTTGCTCAATAAATCTAGAAGGTAATTATTATTTTATGGTACCTAATTATCTCCCAACTCTAGTGCTTATAGTAGTCTACCCATTTTAGGTGGAGAGGGGAAAGAGGAGGAGGAGGGGGGGGAGGAGGAGGAGGGGGAGGAGGAGGAGGAGGAGAGGAGCCAAGAAAGTCCCTTGAGCCCAGACACGTAGCCTTTCAGTGGCTGAGTCCCTTCCTGGCCCAGGCTCAAAGACTATGTCATCCTGTCTTATAGAGGGACTGAGGAGGACAAAATGGTCGTTATGGGTCCTCTACCAGCTCCAGGGGGGCCTGGCTGAAGGGTGTGTGCCCACCGGAGGGAGATATGCCCCCTCTCAGGGCCTCTGAGTAAAAGTAGAAGGTGATTTCACCTTGATACTTCACTCCTACCCTGAGAAGCTTGCCCATTGTACCCCCATGGTTGAAGTCTTCTGACCCCCCCTACTGACCATTCTCCTTGGCCCCAGCTCTTTTGCCCAGAAACCTGCCATCCCATCCCCCTATTCTCTCCTCTCCCCTCCTCTCTGCCCAGTCCCCCTCAGCCAGGCCTGACCCCTCTGATATGATACCCAATTTGCCTAGAGAGAAAGGAGGGGGATTAATGGGTGAGGAAGCAGGGCTGAGGATTTTGGGGAGTATAGTGGGGGAGAGTGCCATGGTACCCCAACCATCCCACATCATGCCCTCAGTTCAACACCAAATGTCACCCTGCTCCCCCCTCAAACCGTCCCTCTGCTAAGGAGAAAGACAGAGGGTTCCAGAGACTTGAGGGGGGAAGGAGAGGGCAGAGTTCAAGCTCAGAGGACCCTGAGGTCTTCCCTCATCCCAACCACAGGTTCTTTAGGATTCTGCCCCCGTCCCTCTCTTTAGCCATCTAGGAAGCAGAAGATCCAAGTTGGAGGAGGGGCGACAGGATTTTGGCTTTGGGGGGGATCAGAGACTTTTCTCTGAGGTCAAGATGCTCTCAATCAGAAAAAGAAGGAGGAAGGTTTACAGTAAGGGAGGGGAGCAGGGACTTGGAAAAAGGAGGTTGGGGCTGGAGGAGATGGGTCCCAACCCTGGGCAGGATCAAAGGAGGGAACTGAGGAGGTGTTGGGGGGTGGGGGGGTCTCACCATTGCAGTATTGAAGCAGCGAGGATGTGTCATAGAGACCGCAGAAGGCTGGGCCGCGCTCCGCCATCGCCCCACTACAGCCGCCACCGGCCCCTCCAGCTCCAGCCCGGGCCCGGTCCCCCCCCCAGGCCCTGCCTCCCGTTGCCATAGCAACGTCCTTCGTACCAGCATCCCCGGCTCGGCTCACCCAGCATCAGGCGGCAGCCGCCGAGCCTGGCACCGAGGTCATCCCCCTCAGGATGCCCCAAAGAGAAAGAGGGAGGGGAGGGGAGGGACACCCCCCCTCTCCCCCACCCCCAAAACACAATCTTCAGGCCAAGGATTGGCTGTGCCCGGGTCCCCCTAGGTAGTGTCTGGTCCCGCCCATAACTAGTGTATTCTCTCTAGCCCCGCCCACCCTCGCCTGTTCGGAACCAATGAGAGCCTGTCGCTCGGGAGCTTCCACCAATAGGAATGCAGGCGGACTAGAAGGGGCAGGGCCTTCTTTGCTTTTCAGCTGGAAAGCGTAGCCGCCGACCCCCTCACAGCAGCTCCGGGAGGAAGATGGCAGGGGAGGAAGGCCTTCCTCCATCTCTTCCCCCTCCATACCCTCTTCTTAGTCTTTCATGGACATTCCCAAAAGCCCTCTCGAACAACCAGGGCCCCAAATTAAAGCCTCCACATTCGGCCAGGTATCCACGAGGCTCCGCCCTGGAACTCATTCTCTCAGGGTCCTTGTTTATCTGCGCTTAGCCACGCCCCCAGGGCTCTTAGCCACGCCCCCAGGATCTTGGTGGGGGGAATCTATTCGCCCCCCCCACGCCCCAAGCCATCAGCCCCCCCTCACTCCCCCACCCCACCCCGAGCAGATTCGTTATACCACTTCGCCCTGGGACCTGGATCAGCTGCGCCCTCCCAAATCTCAGCCCTTCCCCACCCTTCCCTTCCAGCTTTCCCAGTCACCGTCCCATCCAGGCCGGGTTTTGAGACACGCCCAGTTGTGCAGCCGAGGGACCAGCTGGCCAGTGTCAGTCGGAGCTGGCTCGGAAGTTGGGGGGCAGGAAGGGAGGGTAGAAAACCCGATGATGGATTTCAAGAATGTAGGACCGCCTTCTGCAAGTCTCCCTGGAAGGTTAACCCTGCACCTTGGCCCAGACCAGGCTTTGCAGGTAGGAGACCAAGAGTCAAAGGAGATTCACCTCTGGCCACACACAGGCACCAAGTGGAAAATTTGGGACCAGACTGGGGTGTGCTTGAATCCAGACTCTCACCACTTTTTTTTTTTTTTTTTGGCCAGTCCTGGGGCTTGAACTCAGGGCTGGGGCACTGCCCCTGAGCTGTTGCTCAAGGCTAGCACTCTACCACCTGAGCCATAGCGCTACTTGCGGCTTCTTTTTTTTCTTCTGTTTTTGTGGTATTGAGGAATCGAACCTAGGGCTTCATGCATGCGAGGCAACCACTCTACCACTGAGCCACCTTCCCAGCCCCCTCACCACTTTTTGAGTGTGGGACCCTGCAAAAGTGGAAGATTGTAACAATTCCTAACCTTTCTCCTGAAAGCATTACAAGCCTCTGTCCTCGGTGCTGGAGACTATTTTTTGGGGGGAGGGTCTTTTTTGCTCAAGGCAAGTGCTCTACCACTTTGAGCCACAGCTCCACTTCTAGGTTTTTGAGTGGTTCATTGGAGATAAGAGTCTCCTGGAGCTGTTGGCTCACACCTGTAATCCTAGCTACTCAAGAGGCTGAGATCTGAGAATCAGGTTTCAAAGCCAGCCCCAGCAAGAAAGTCTGTGAGGCTCTTAGCTCCAATAAACCACCAGAAAACCAGATGTGATGCTGTGGCTCAAGTGGTAGAACGCTCACCTTGAGCTGAAGAGCTCAGGGACAGCACCCAGGCCCAGAGTTCAAGTCCCATGACTGACAAAAAAAAAGTCTCATGGACTTTCCTGCTTGGTCTGGCTTCCAACCACACTCTAGATCTTAGCCTCCTGAGTAGCTAGGACGACATGTATGAGCCACCGGCACCGGCTTATAGAGACTCTTTTTTAATTTTTGGGTCCGGTAAAGGGCCTGAACTCTGGGCCTGGGCGCTGTCCCTCAGCTCTTCACCTCAAGGCTAGCGCTCGACCACTTGAGCCACAGTGCCACTTCCAGCTTTTTTCTTTTTGCTTATGTGGTGCTGAGGAATCGAACCCAGGGCCTTAGGCATGCAAG